CCGCAGGTGCACCATGGGATCCCCAGATCCATCAAATCGGTCAATATGCGGCATCTTAAATCTGTCTGGCAGTGTCACGGCTGCGTCGGTATACCCATCCTCGATGTCCGGGATGGACTTCACTCCTTGAGATTTCTTAAACAGCTTTTCAAGCTTGTTCAGTTTTAATGCCATGGGGTCCACATCGAATTCGAAGGGAGAGTCCGGTAGATTGATCGGTGCTTTAGATAGCTGGGGTAGGATCGGGGGCGGAGGTGGCCCTGTCGGAATGTCCGTATCTTCCTGAACATTAGTTGTCTCCCCGAGTGTTGGAACTTTAGGTGGGGGAGGAGCCTGATGTGAAGCGGATGCTCCTGTTTGTTGCTGCAGCCGGGCAATTAAGTCTGCCTGTTGGGCCATGATCTCTGCCTGCTGTTTGGCAAATTCTGCTTGACGAGCAGCATCCTGCTGCATGGTTTTCATGCTCTCTTGGAGTTGACGCATCATTTCCTCTATCCCTGACATACTGTCGTTAATCTGATTGAACCACCAGTATATCTATCCCTGCAGTAGACTCAGAAATCTCAACCTGGCTGTTCAAAGACCACTGAGCTAGTAGCTGTTGTACTGGTGATCTGTGCCTGACCGACCTTTTCACCCTGCCTCTGGTAAAGGAACACTGATTGCCCTTGAACTGAATCTCTGACCCGACAAAGTCTATCAACACAAGTTCGGTGTACCCGAGGGATATTGGAGCCTTCTGAAGCTATGGTTCCAAGACTACCCCCTCTAGCAAAAGAGAAAACAGACAGCATCTCAGCCTGATTTCACCTGAACAGATATGAGCATAGTTTGAATGAGTGTGCTCTCTACTGAATTCTGCCCAAAATTCTGCCGGTAAACTGATACCCTCAGGTGAACTGAATCCCAAAGTACTGAACTGGTGCCCGCAGGCCTGATGCCCAAACTTGTAGACTGATACATGCACTACTACAAAAATAGTTAAAGATCACACTTTGACAAAAAAAAAGATCTCACTTTTATTGGAAGTGTGATAAAAAAAATTAGATTGATATTTTAATCACACTTAATTTGATTGAGTGTGATAATATTTATTTTTTATGTCACTTTTCAATTAAGTGTGATTATATATATACTTTTTTAATCACACCTTCTAATTAAAGTGTGATTATATATACACTACTACTTTTTAATCACACATTCTAATTAAAGTGTGATTATTTATATATTTTTTTATCACACCTTCTAATTAAAGTGTAATTATATATATACTACTACTTTTTAATCACACTTTTTAAATAAGTGTGATTACATATATATTTTTTAATCAAACATTTTAATTAAAGTGTGATTATATATACATTACTATTTTTTAATCACACTCCCTAAATAGGTGTGATTGTATAAAATATTTCAATTTGATTTTTATATAAAATATACAATTCCCAAATCCGCGCCTCTGTTCTACCCATGAATGATAGAGATGACTCACTACTAGAAAATGAGGCTTTAGACACGGAACTTTTTCACCCATTTTTTCATCTTTCTATCTCTCTGTCTCTGTCTCTCTTCTCTGTCTCTCTCTCTCTCTCTCACTCTCACTCATCACTCTTCTCTGTCTGTCTCTCTTTCTCTCTGTCTATCTCTCTCATCTCTCTCTGTCTCTCTTCTCTATCTCTCTTCTCATTATCTCTCTCTGTCTCTCTCTCGTTTATCTCTTTTCGCTCTTTTTTTCTCTCTCTCTCTCTCTTTGTCTATATCTTTTCACCTATTTTTTCAACTTCCTCTCTCTCTTCTCTTTCTGTCTCTCACTCATCACTCTTTTCTTTCTGTCTATCTCTCTCTCTCTCTGTGTGTGTGTGTGTGTCTCTCACTCATCTATCTCTTCTCTCATCTCTTTTCTCTCTCTGTCTCTTTCGTTCATCTCTCTTCTCTCTATCTCTCTCATATTTCTCTATCTCTCTCGCTCATCTCTCTTCTCTCTCTCTCTCATTCATCTCTCTACTCTCTCTCTCTCATTCATCTCTCTACTCTCTCTCTCTCTCGCTCATCTCTCTTCTCTCTATCTCTCTCTCGTTCATCTCTCTTCTCTCTCTATCTTTTTTCTGTCTCTCACTCTCTATCTTTTTGTCCCTCTCTCTCTCTTCTCTTTCTCTCTCTCTTTCTCTCCCACTATGTTCGCGTTGCTCACTCTCTCCCTTCTGTCTTCTCTATTTACTGAGCTCCCTCTCGATTTATCTATCCACTACAAGAAAATGCACTTTTAGCGACCACTTTGTCTCTCTCTTGCTCATCACTCTGTCTTTGTCTCTCTCTCTCTCTTTCTCTCCTCTATCTGTCTCTCACTCATTTTTCTCTCTCTCACCACTCATCTCCTTTACCACATTTACTACTACTGCAAACGCCATTCCACTACCACCATTACTACCACTGTCGCCACTTCACCTCCACGACTACCATTGCTACTACCATTGCCACCACTACCACTACTGCCACTATTACTACCATTACCTCTCATTCACCCTTGCCACTTCATCTACTCTACCACTACCACAACTTCACCACTAATCTCCTTCGCCACCACCACCACCACCACCACCACCATCATCTCTTATCCACCACCTTCACCACTACTGCCACTTTCTATCCTCTACAAAAAAAAAAATCATTAATTACAAAAAAATATATATTTTAACAAAAAATATTTTTTTTTGACGACGGCAACTCCCGTCGAAAAAAGAAAAAGAAAAAAAAAGTTCAACGACATTATTTTGTTATTTAAATTTCATTTCTGACAAAAAAAAAATATTTTTTATTCCCGCCTGTTTTTGTTTTCCATTCCCGCTTTATTCTCTCTCTATCTCTTCTATCCGTCTCCCACTCATCTCTCTCTCTCTCTCACCACCCATCTCCTCTACCACCTTCACCACTATTGCAAACGTCATTCCACCACCACCACTACTTCCACTGTCGCCACTTCACCTCTACGACTACCATTATTACTACCATCGCCACCACTCCACTACTGCCGCTACTACTACCATTACCTCTCCTTCACCCCTTCCACTCCATCTACACTACCACTACCACAACTTCACCACTAATATTTTTCGCCATCACCACCACCACCACCACCATCATCTCTTATCCACCACCTCCACCACTAATGTCGCTACCTTTCCTCTACCACAAAAAATTAGTTCATGATTTTTACTAAAAAAAAATAGGTCGTAGAAAAATTAACTTTTATTTTAGTGACTACAGAAAATTAACTTTTATTTTAGTGAAAAATATTTTTCATTAAAATATATATTACCCCTACTTCTACCAAATAAAAAATAATAATATTTTTTTCCATTAAAATAAAAATGAAACAAATAAATTTTCAATCTTAGTGACTAAAAAAAAAAAATTTATTTTTTCATTAACTACAAAAAAAATATATATTTTAACAAAAAATATTTTTTTTTGACGACGGCAACTCCCGTCGAAAAAAAAAAAAGAAAAATATTTTTTTTTGATGCAAGATTTTTTTTTTTTTTTTTTTTTTTTTGAAAATTTTCTCTTCTTTGTTTGTTTGCTGAGAAAATCGAGCATTAGAACCAAATATAATTAAAAAATAGCTTGATTAGTTGTTGATTTTTTAAATATTTTAAACATTTTTTTAATTGATTAAAATTTTAAAAAAATTCACTAAAAATAAAAAAATACTAATTAAAAACTCAAAAAAAAAAAAATTCAAAAATTGAAACAAATTTTTAATACAAAATCTATTTTGACTCGTTCAGACCCGCCCATTTGCCACGTTTGAAAAAAAAAAAAAAAACTAACAAATTATTCCAAAATTCCCCCCAAAATTTCCCTCATTTTTCTTCTTCTCAGTCGCGCTCATCTCTCTCTGTCTCTCTCTTAATCGTTTTGTATTTTTTTTCCCTTTGAATTTCAGCCTATTTTTCTCTCTCTCATTTGTTGCATAACCCTAACCCAACTCGTCTTTGAGAGAGATGCAGAGACGAAACGACATGGAGATGAAGGCGATGTGACTCCGGTAGACGACTCCAGCAGACAACTCCGGCAGCTAGGCGAGGGGAGGCGACATCGAGGCAAGGGAAGGCGGCGACCGACGAGGTCCCTTTCGTCTTCATTTTGATTTGTTACTGATTTGAACAACAATAAAGTGGAGAACAATGGAGGAGAGATAACAGGGAGCGATGTTCGTGGTGGCGAGGGAGTTATGAATTGGCAGAGTGCTAGGCTCAAATCTGAAATTCTGGCGCATCCGCTTTACGAATCATTCTCATTTGTTCCTATTATATATATATGATTTCCTGGGTCAAAATTGTTGTTGATTTCTTAGATTTGTTGTTGATTAAGTGGAAAAAAGAATGGAATCGTCCACTGCACACCCTTAATGCCCAGCAGGACCACAAGCTCATGTTCAGTCTACTTTTTTCCCTTAAATCCTTGACTGCAAAAATGGATCCAACAAGGTTTGTTTTGCTTCTTCAAGTTTTGAATTTCAAACATAATATGTTTGCGTGAGTATTTTGATTTCCCATAGAAATTAAAAAAATTTATTTGATTATATAAAACAGAAAATGTTTCGGTTGTGCAAAGAAAACTAATAATTTGACATGCATATACTATTTGTTTTGGGATCCATAAGATGGTATTAGAAACACTATAACTGGTTCTAATGCCATATGTGATATGTTGATTCCTGTAACAGAAAACTCTTCCTGTATCATCTATTGGCCTTATTAACTCCATATTTATTCTTAGCTTGGAGATTGATTAAATTTTTGTTGAAATTGGCATATGTTTGTTAGACATATTTTGTTTGGTATTGGAGTCTCACACTGTAATAGATTCATGATTCATCACTTGTTTGGATTTGGAGCTAATTTTTTCATTGAGGTCCAGACATGGTTTTTAATTATTTTGGTTGTGGTTGGTGTTCAATGATTGTATGATTTACATGGGACTCTTTTGGACAGTGCGGAGAAGGGAAATCTTGGGGTGCCTCAGTTACCAAGACAAGGGTGTTCATTTCACAGCTTTCGTACCAATACGTACAAACTCAGTTTTATGGAGAGTCCATCTGGTATGTTGAGCTCCCAAATATGGATGTGACTATCACGTGATGAGGTCATATGAAAGTCTTTGATAAGAAAACTTGTGTTCCCAGTGACATTAATTGATGTATTCAATGTAATGGCAACGTGATGCTCTGCATACTTTAGACTGGAATGATAGGATTAAGGTCATTAAGATGTCTTGTTTGACGTGACAAGTTAGTCCCTTTTGCGAGAAAGGTTTTGTTTTGAATTTTTACACTGCATTATACTTAAAATTGAGAAGTTTTTGATTTACATGAGACTACCTGTAAGAGCACTACTTTGAAAGAAAGAATTCACTTCACTTCAGGCTCTCATTACTAATTTTTGGTATCTGTGTAACCACACAGTTCTCATTGTACAACTACATATAAATTTGTTTGCAGATCATTCTCGTCACTCATCCCAGGACTGGTGATCTAAGGGATTCCCTGAAGTATATTTACAATTTGTAAGTTGAATAGGTTGTCAAGAATCCACTCTATAGTCCAGGAACTCCAATCAGGTGAGTGATATATATTTTCTATCTTATTTTTATCATTGTGAAACACTTATATGATGACCTATTAGCTAAGGGTTTTAAATGCTGCATGACACCTCGGAGATTTTCTATGTAGAAGTTAATTTGATTGGGCTGTTGTCCCTGACGGGTGCCTTCTACCATTTTGGAGAATAGTTTTTGAGCAAAATATAACCAAATAGAGAAAATATTGCAAGGATTAATTTATTCAATCTAAAACAAGTTTCATTACTGACTAGATTTAACCTGCTCACATTTTTTACCATGCATTCATTGGTCTTTTCTAGCTTGACACACATAAATAACACTCCTTTGTAAATGAAAACTATGATTATAGTAGATAAACAAAAATGTTGACAAAAATTTTCAATAGATAGAAAAAAATTGAACCGATAGATAGAATTTAGGGGAAATAATTGAACAGATAGATATAAAATTGAACAGATAAATAGAATTTAGGGAAAAATTGAACAGATAGATAGAAGTTAGGAGAAAAGTTGAACAGATAGGGGAAAAAATTGAACAGATAGACAAAAAATTTGAACAGATAGTCAAGTCAAACAGACTGAAACAAAGTTTAGGGGTAAAATTAGAAAAAAAACGTCTTCTAGGACTTCTTATCAAACTATTTCACAAATTGTAAATTTTTTATCAATAAAAAATATTTACTGAACTTAATGTCTTACCCTCTAAATATACATTGAACCAAAAGAGAGAATTTTTTTTAGTTTCTTTCACTTTGGTTATTTTATTTATTTATTTTCACCTCACAAGTCCGAGATGAAACATAACAGTAGAGTGTTTATTGTACCAAAATTATATATTTTTGATAGGCATGAAAATAATGAGTTAGGGCAAAACATAAATGTAATTTTTTTTATTATTTTTTGATCAACAACGTAAATGGAAAAACTTAATGCCCAGCAGGACCACAAGCTCATGTTCGGTCTACTTTTTTCCCTTAAATCCTTGACTGCAAAAATGGATCCAACAAGGTTTGTTTTGCTTCTTCAAGTTTTGAATTTCAAACATAATATGTTTGCGTGAGTATTTTGATTTCCCATAGAAATTAAAAAAATTTATTTGATTATATAAAACAGAAAATGTTTCGGTTGTGCAAAGAAAACTAATAATTTGACATGCATATACTGTTTGTTTTGGGATCCATAAGATGGTATTAGAAACACTATAACTGGTTCTAATGCCATATGTGATATGTTGATTCCTGTAACAGAAAACTCTTCCTGTATCATCTATTGGCCTTATTAACTCCATATTTATTCTTAGCTTGGAGATTGATTAAATTTTTGTTGAAATTTGCATATGTTTGTTAGACATATTTTGTTTGGTATTGGAGTCTCACACTGTAATAGATTCATGATTCATCACTTGTTTGGATTTGGAGCTAATTTTTTCATTGAGGTCCAAATGTTGTGCCAGACATTGTTTTTAATTATTTTGGTTGTGGTTGGTGTTCAATGATTGTATGATTTACATGGGACTCTTTTGGACAGTGCGGAGAAGGGAAATCTTGGGGTGCCTCAGTTACCAGGACAAGGGTGTTCATTTCACAGCTTTCGTACCAATACGTACAAACTCAGTTTTATGGAGAGTCCATCTGGTATGTTGAGCTCCCAAATATGGATGTGACTATCACGTGATGAGGTCATATGAAAGTCTTTGATAAGAAAACTTGTGTTCCCAGTGACATTAATTGATGTATTCAATGTAATGGCAATGTGATGTTGTGCATACTTTAGACTGGAATGATAGGATTAAGGTCATTAAGATGTCTTGTTTGACGTGACAAGTTAGTCCCTTTTGCGAGAAAGGTTTTGTTTTGAATTTTTACACTGCATTATACTTAAAATTGAGAAGTTTTTGATTTACATGAGACTACCTGTAAGAGCACTACTCTGAAAGAAAGAATTCACTTCACTTCAGGCTCTCATTACTAATTTTTGGTATCTGTGTAACCACACAGTTCTCATTGTACAACTACATATAAATTTGTTTGCAGATCATTCTCGTCACTCATCCCAGGACTGGTGATCTAAGGGATTCCCTGAAGTATATTTACAATTTGTAAGTTGAATAGGTTGTCAAGAATCCACTCTATAGTCCAGGAACTCCAATCAGGTGAGTGATATATATTTTCTATCTTATTTGTATCATTGTGAAACACTTATATGATGACCTATTAGCTAAGGGTTTTAAATGCTGCATGACACCTCGGAGATTTTCTATGTAGAAGTTAATTTGATTGGGCTGTTGTCCTTGACGGGTGCCTTCTACCATTTTGGAGAATAGTTTTTGAGCAAAATATAACCAAATAGAGAAAATATTGGAAGGATTAATTTATTCAATCTAAAACAAGTTTCATTACTGACTAGATTTAACCTGCTCACATTTTTTACCATGCATTCATTGGTCTTTTCTAGCTTGACACACATAAATAACACTCCTTTGTAAATGAGAACTGTTCATCAAACTTCATAAACGGCTTAGCAACATTTTCTGGCTTGACACACATAAATAACACTCCTTTGTAAATGAGAACTGTTCATCAAACTTCATAAACGGCTTAGCAACATTTTCTGGCTTGACACACATAAATAACACTCCTTTGTAAATGAGAACTGTTCATCAAACTTCATAAACGGCTTAGCAACATTTTCTGGCTTGACACACATAAATAACACTCCTTTGTAAATGAGAACTGTTCATCAAACTTCATAAACGGCTTAGCAACATTTTCTGGCTTGACACACATAAATAACACTCCTTTGTAAATGAGAACTGTTCATCAAACTTCATAAACGGCTTAGCAACATTTTCTGGCTTGACACACATAAATAACACTCCTTTGTAAATGAGAACTGTTCATCAAACTTCATAAACGGCTTAGCAACATTTTCTGGCTTGACACACATAAATAACACTCCTTTGTAAATGAGAACTGTTCATCAAACTTCATAAACGGCTTAGCAACATTTTCTGGCTTGACACACATAAATAACACTCCTTTGTAAATGAGAACTGTTCATCAAACTTCATAAACGGCTTAGCAACATTTTCTGGCTTGACACACATAAATAACACTCCTTTGTAAATGAGAACTGTTCATCAAACTTCATAAACGGCTTAGCAACATTTTCTGGCTTGACACACATAAATAACACTCCTTTGTAAATGAGAACTGTTCATCAAACTTCATAAACGGCTTAGCAACATTTTCTGGCTTGACACACATAAATAACACTCCTTTGTAAATGAGAACTGTTCATCAAACTTCATAAACGGCTTAGCAACATTTTCTGGCTTGACACACATAAATAACACTCCTTTGTAAATGAAAACTGTTCATCAAACTTCATAAACGGCTTAGCAACATTTTCTGGCTTGACACACATAAATAACACTCCTTTGTAAATGAAAACTGTTCATCAAACTTCATAAACGGCTTAGCAACATTTTCTGGCTTGACACACATAAATAACACTCCTTTGTAAATGAAAACTGTTCATCAAACTTCATAAACGGCTTAGCAACATTTTCTTGAATTAATGTTAGTTTCTATTAATTTTGATTGTTTGGTAACATAATATTGATCTACATAGCAAATATATGTAAAAAAAAAATTAAAATTTTTTTTGCAGTGTCTCCCGCCGTATCCGTATTCCCTTTTTTTTGGAATCACCGTGTCCCGTGTTCGTATCCGTGTCTGTGCTTCATAGCTTAACTACTTGGAGCCAAAAAATAAATAAACAAAATTAAATAAGAAAGAAATTTTGTAATGACAGCTTGTGAAAATCATTTGAATGTGCGGCCTGCATTGGCTACTGTATATCCGGTAAATCCCAGAAACCTAATTTTCATTTTGATGGTCAATAGACTTTCCTTCTAACCAAGTTTTTAATTCTTCATTCACAGTATTAGATATTTAAAAACATCAATGAGTTTTCGTTATATTATTTCTGGAATTATGTTTGGATGACTTTTAACTTTGACTTGTTTTGCTTCTATAGTAACCCATAGAGCTTTCTTGGTTAATCATAAATCTATACAGAAGGGCAACTGAAACTGAGTCCTTTTTGAGTTTATATACATGAATATTTATGCAGTGATGATCATTTGAGATTCTATGGTGCAGTCATATGAAGTGAACTCTAGAGGCGTGGAAATTTTCACAAAAAGTTGGCTTCCAAAAACCTGCTCCCCCAAAGCAATTATTTATTACTGTCATGGTTACGGAGATACTTGCACATTCTTGGCTGAAGGCATGTACTTCGTAACATATATTAGAAAGTAGATTCATATTGTGAGACAAATGGAATGTAACTGTTTTACGGAATTGTCTACAGGAATTGCCAGGAAGTTAGTATTTTCTGGATATGGAGTTTTTGCGATGGATTATCCAGGATTTGGTCTTTCAGAAGGTCTTCATGGATATATTCCAAGCTTTGATATCCTGGTTGATGATGTCATTGAGCAGTACTCAAAAACCAAAGGTACAGTACCTAATAATTTGTTTTTCTTTGCTACTATATTGGGATTTCTTTGTGGGAACTCTGTAGTTAGAAGCTAGAACATTTGCATTGAGAGATAGGATTGACTCCTTTACACACTAAACTTCTTATTATGTTTGTTTGGTCATTGTCATGTTTCAAAGAAAAGAAAAGATGAAAGAAACAAGAATAACATTGGAAGATTGTTAAAAAGCCCAACCAGCTAGCTCTTTGGAGCTCCAAAGAATGGAAAGAGCTATGGGATTAATGATGTTGCAAAGTTAATGTCTCCTTGTAACTAAAACAAACTTTTTCAGTTTGTGTCCTAACTCCAACTCAAATAAACTTCCTAGTTTGATCAGGACAATAATTGACCAATTTTAAATATGCTAATTTTTCTTTTCTAGAAGGTTCATACTCGTCATTTGGCAGCTACTCTGATAGATCCTATCAGCAAGTTCCAATCCTTTTGTTTGAAATTTCTTCATTCAATGCTAAAGCTCCAACCTCGAGAAATCCAAATGCATCCAAATCCTAAAAAGATAATTGAAGGTTAAAATTTAATAAATAAGCCATTATAATTTTTGTTTTATGCCTAATTGATTATTAGAGAGGTGATTGAGCATCTCTTATAAGGTAAGTTGAAGTATAAGCAGATGTCACTGGCAAATAGAAAACATGAAGGAAATTTGTAGCATGTGCTTGTTTACCCTAACTCTGAAGTTGGCTTCCAGGCTATCCTTGCTGCAGTCAATATTACTAGAGGCTTTGTCCCCCATTGCATTCAGTATTTATAAAAAAATAAGAAATATGAAATCCTCTATTGCCCTCCGTGTTTATACCTTGGCATTGTAACAGAAAGTTGCAAGATTCTTCATTTTATTCCTGAATGGAAACTTGAATCCATACTTTGAACTCAGGCTGCTTTGGAGGCACCAAGGATTTTGAATCTAACAACAATAAATATTTCTCTGGACCTTATGGTATGTTCCATTCTCAAAGTTTGTACCTTTATTTATCTATTTATTTTGCATTCTATTATAAATGGTGTAACATATCTGTCTCGTACAAATGCAGGGGAAGATGTTGTCTTCATTGCCAATGATTGGCACACTGCTCTTCTTCCATGTTATCTGAAGACCAAGTACAAACCTATGGGGATCTACAAGAATGCCAGAGTAAGATTGCTCAATTACGTCGTTAAGAATTTCAGGCAAAGAATAAAATTAAAACAGATATTTTTTGGGATTTAACACTAGTACTGACAAATGATGGCAGGTTGTTTTCTGCATCCATAACATTGCCTACCAAGGGAGATTTCCTTTTGCAGACTTCTCTCTTCTCAATCTTCCAGAACAATTTAAGGGCTCTTTTGATTTTATTGATGGGTATGTATGCAGATTTGAGTATTGAAATTGCTATTGCCGGAGATGTCTTAACATCGGATGGAATTTTCCAACTGCTATGGTTTGAGAAATTTTTTTTTCTTGTCAAGTTATGACAAGTTTTCGCATGTTGCAGGTATGACAAGGCTGCCAAGGGAAGGAAAATTAACTGGATGAAGGGTGGAATATTAGAATCAGACAGGGTCGTACTAGTGAGCCCATACTATGCCCAGGAACTTGTTTCTCGTATAGATAAGGTTGTGGAATTGGATAACATCATTCGTAAGACCGGTTACCAGTATAACTGGTATTGTCAATGGCATGGATGTCCAGGAGTGGAATCCATCTACAAATAAATACATTGATGTCAAATATAATGCCACAACTGTAAGATTCTTCTAATTCTTTTTTTACTGTCTTAATTTTCCATTAATCTCTCAATATTGCTGGGTCTGATTTTATGTTGCTCCCTAGTAGATTTGAACCTTGTGGTCTCATTCAGTTGCATGCCATGAGATATGAATCGGTAAACCCTGTTTTTCCCCCTGTTTGGCTGCTGCTTTTAAAACTTAATGAATCATGCACAATTATTTGCTTAAATTGATCATTCTTTCATGATTTTATTTTATTTTTTAAGAAAACACTGTGCTGGGTCACGAACGAGGAGCCTTGCTTTCATAGTGCCTCTGCTACCACTTGGCTGCAAGGCCTGTGATTAGATTTCAAACCAGTTGAGAAAAGTTAGTTATTATTGTGTTAATCCTATGTTTGTGTCTCTAAGCCATCTTTACGGTCTTTTCACTCCAAATATCATTCGACTGGTGGTTAATGGTTTAATTTACCTATTCATTTTTTAGTACGCATTGTCTATTTTGTAGCTCAAGATCCTCATCTGCTATCATTCTTTCTTGATATTGCAGCTAACTATGACGGAAATCGATTCATAACCATTCAGGATGGTGTGTGGAAAGTAAGTCCTTGATGGGTTTATCTTAGCGCAATATTTTTGCCACTTTACTGCATCATCTATTCAGCATACTTAATAAGAGATAATTTTTAATTGCATGGAAGGACTTCAAAATTCTCTCTGGATCAGCAGATGACTTCTTTTATTGCACAGAAATTTAAAGGCCATTGATTGTGTTAAATTATAGTTTAAATTGACTTTTAATGGGCATCAAACATTTTTGGCAGGCCACACCTTTACTTCTGACAGTGGCAGTTATTGAGCTCAGTGATATTGCATTCACAGTGGGTTCCCTTTGTCCCTGTCCATGTTAAGTATATACATTCAAAGAGCTTGAGGATTTTGTAGTTAGTATTTTAGTGATAATTTGATGCCCATTTTCAGGTTGACTCTATACCAGCAGTTTTTGGTGTTACTCGAGACCCTTCCGTAGTTTTCACATCTAATTTCTTTGCCATCTTAGGTAACTCTTGGTTTTCATTCTTCTAATTTCTATCAAAAGTAATCATAATTCAAGCTAAATTCCATCCGTTAAATTTCTCCCCTGTTTATGTGATCACTTATGAATAAAATCTTCTTGTTAGTGCTTCTTGGTATGTGATAAAATCTTCTTGTTAGTGCTTCTTGGTATGTGATAAAATCTTCTTGTTAGTGCTTCTTGGTATGTGATAAAATCTTCTTGTTA